AGCAGAAGCGCAGCCTGCGGCGGCTTGGGGGACTCCTGCTGCTGCTGCGAACAGCAAAGCCCAGGGGCTGCCCAAGGACGATGGCAGCAGCAGCAGCAGCAGAGACACGGAAGCCTCGAACAGCAGCCAGCAGCAGCAGCAGCAGCAACCGCAACAGCAGCAACAGCAGCAACAACAGAGGCAGCAGCAGCACCAACAACGCCGGGTCCATATGGGTAAGCGCCAAACAGCAGCAGCAAGAGCAGCAGCAGCAGCAGCAGCAGCAGCAGCAGCACAGTTACAGCCGAAGCAGCCTCTCAGGGAGCTTGTCTTGTTGTTCTGTTTGCTGCGTCCACAGAAGAGCAGCAGCAGCAGCAGCAGCAGCAGCAGCAGCAAAGCCCGATGCGCTCTGCAGCTGCCCCTGGCGGCGCTGCTTCCAGTCGGTAGGACAGCAGCAGCAGCAGCAGCAGCAGCAGCAGCAGCAGCAGCAGCAGCAGCAGGAGGCATAGGAACGCCGTTTTTTCTGAAATTTAAGCATTTATTTGTTTATTTATTCATAATTAAATAATTAATTTATTAATTTGTCTTTTTATTTCTCATTTTATTCATTTATTTGCTCATTTTGCTTCGCAATTCACTGCTGCTGCTGCTTCCTTGTTTGCAGCTTCGAGCCGCAGACTAGAAACGAAGACAGAGGGCAGCAGGTGAAATCTCTTTTTTCGAATTTTCCCGGATGTTGCTGCTGCTGCTGCTGCTGCTGTTGCTGCTGCTGTTGCTGCTGCTGCTGCTTCTTTTTTTTTCTTTTTGATCCTTTTTATCCTTTTAATCTCCTCCTGTTGCCTTATTCTTTTAGTTCTTTTAAGGTTTTATTTACTTATTTATTTTTTTATTTTATTTTATTTATTTTATTTCCTTTTAGGCTCGGGGAAAGAAGAAAGCAGCAGAGGCTGTGTCTTCGGGGAGAGCAGCTGATCGCAAGCAGCACGAGGCAGCAGCAGCAGCAGCAGCAACAGCAGCAGCAGCAGCAGCAGCGGATGCGCGGCCGCAGCAGTCTGCAGACAGGTTCGTTGCCGAGCTGTCTTTGGATTAATTAACTCCAAATTTTATTTTTAAAATCCTTTTTATCTGCTGCTGCTGATGGCGCTGCTGCGTGTCTGCTGCTGCTGTTTGCTGCAGCAGCAAAACGACGGGGGCCTCCTTTCCATCTGCTGGCGACGGTGCGGCTGCTGCTGCTTCAGCTTCTCTAGCCTTTCTGTTCCTTCTGCTGCAGCGGGAGGACTTTTGCTGCTGCAGCAGCTGCTGCAGCAGCAAAAGTCCTGTTGCTTTGTGTCTCTGAGGATTGCTGCTGCTGCTGCTACGCCTGCGTGAATGTCTGTGCAGCAGCAGCAACAGCTGCAGCGGCGGACACGGCAGCAACTGGCGCTGCTGACGGCAACCAGCAGCAGCAGCAGCAGCAGCAGCAGCAGCAAGGCGCCGCAGCAGCAGCAGAGGGAGGGTCCCCCACGGCCAGCAGCAGCAGCGGCAAGAAGTGCTTCCAGTTCAATCCTTATGCAAATAGCTTTACGCCTGCGACGCCTTCATCGCATGCAGCAGTAGCAGCAGGGTACAGATTTGCTGCTGCTGCTGCTGCAGCAGCAGCAGCAGCAAGCAGCGCGGCAGCGCGGCACGGAGGGGCCCCGCAGCAGCCGCTGCCGGGGGCGGTGTCTCTGCCGGGTGCAGCAGCAGAAGTCGGCGACAAGAGCAGCAGCAGCGGGCAGCAGCAGCAGCAGCACCAGCAGTACACAGCAGCAGCAGCAGCAGCAGCAGCAGCAGCAGCGCGGGCGCACCCGCAGTCACTAGCTGCTGGGGCTGGGGCGGCGCTGCCCATGCCGCCGCCGCTGGGCGTGTACGGCACAGCAGCAGCAGCAGCAGCAGCAGCAGCAGCAGCAGCAGCAGCAGCAGGCCAGGCCTATGGGGGGCCCCACACTTCGGGGCCCCTCTTAACAGACCCCACAGAGGCCCTCGTTGTTGACAGCATTGCCTTGGGGGCCCCCTTTGCTGCTGAGGGGGCCCCCTTTGCTGCTGCTGAGGGTTTGCCGCTGGGGGTGCCCATGAGAGCTGTGGGTTTTCGCCAATTAAGGATTAATTAATTAATTAATTGTTTTTTATTTATTTATTTCAATTAATAACTCTTATTTGCTGCCAAAGAAGCAGCAAAAGACACACTTTTGCTGCTGCTTGCTGCAGGCCTTCGCGGGGTACCCGCAGCAGCAGCCAGCAGCAGCGCAGCACCCCTGGCGGCCGCTGCTGCAGCAGGGACTGCAGCAGGGGCTGCAGCAAGGACTGCAGCAAGGACTGCAGCAGGGGCTGCAGCAGGGGCTGCAGCAGGGGCTGCAGCAGGGGGCCCTGGGCCTCGCTCCGGGGGCCCCCGGGGGCCCCCGTCAAGGGGGGCCCCCCAAGCTTTGTGCTTTTGCTGCAGCACCAGATTTGGCAAGTCCCAAACCCTAACCCTAAACCCTCGAAGTCCCAAACCCTAGCCCTAAACCCTAGGCAGCGCGCAGCAGCAGCACCCACGGAGGCCGGCTCGCTGCTGCTGCTGCTGCTGCTGTGCTGCTGCTGCTGCTGCAGAAAGAAGCAGCAAGAGCAGCAGGCAGCCGCCCCACACCCGCCCCAGGGGCCTTCTTAAGAGCTGCTGCTGCTGCTGCTCTCGAGCTGCCCCTGAAGGCAGACGGCCCGGAGTGGGAGCCTGTGGGTGAGTTCACCTTCTGCTGCTGCTGCTGCTGCTGCTGCTGCACTTGCTGCTGCTGCTGCTGCTTCACTCGCTGCTGCTGTCGCTGCTGCACTTGCTGCTGCTGCTGCTCTTGCACTTGCTGCTGCTGCGGCTGCTCCAATTACTGCACTTGTTGCTGTTGCTCATGACGCTGGCTCGTAGCTCTATCAATAGCAGCAGCAGCAGCAGCAGCAGCAGCAGCAGCATGGGGCGGTCACCTGCGTGCTGTAGACTGAAGAGAATTGCTGCGTCCGGAGCCCTTACTTAGCGTTATTCCAGGCCTTAGGGTCTAGAACCGAGGGTTTAGGGTTTAGGGTTTAGGGTTTAGGGTTTAGGGTTTAGGGTTTGTGTGCAGGGGAGCACTGCTACCGAGACATTCTCAGCCAAGGGCCTCCTGCGCCTTACTGCGGCCTTCCCGCAGTAGATGCTGCTGCTTCCTTTGCGCAGCCCTTCCCCTGTGAGGGTTTAGGGTTTAGGGTTTAGGGTTTAGGGTTTAGGGTTTAGGGTTTAGGGTTTGGTGTGTAGGGAGTCCAGAGGGTCGGGGTCAGGAAGAGCGAGGTTTTGACCTAGAGCTGCTGCTCTCCGCATTCCGAAGAAGCGTCTGCGCCGCCTGGTTTAGGGTTTAGGGTTTAGGGTTTAGGGTTTAGGGTTTAGGGTTTAGGGTTTAGGGTTTAGGGTTTGTATTTAGGGTTTAGGGTTTAGGGTTTAGGGTTTAGGGTTTAGGGTTTAGGGTTTAGGGTTTAGGGTTTGTGGTTGGCTGCTGCAGTGAGGCTGCAGCGGCCCTCCCTCTCAGCTTCTCCTCTCTACGGATTTGGGCAGCCGCTGCTGCTGCCTAATGCTGCTTTGGGGGGCCCCCCGGGGGCCCCCGGGCCCATGGCGTACCCTGTGATGTTTGCTGCTGCTCCGCAGCTGCCTCCGGGGCATCCTTATGCCCTGTTGTCTGCTGCTGCTGCTGCACCGCAGCAGCAGCAGCAGCAGCAGCACCCTGCGGCCCACCCTGGGAACCCAGGCAAGCAGCAGCGGCACCACCAGCCCGCCGCCGGGGCCCCTCCCGGCGCGCAGCAGCAGCAGCAGCAGCAGCAGCAGCAGCAGCAGCTCGACGCAGCAGCGCATGATGCAGCAGCAGCAACTGCAGCAGCAGCACCTTCCCCTTCCCAGGGGCCCCGCGGCGCAGCTTCGCCCCACGTGGGGGGCCGTGGGGGGGCCCCCGGGGGCCCCAGCCACAAGACTTCTCCTTACAAATCTGGTCTCCACGGTAACAGGGTGAGCAGCAGCAGCAGCAGCAGCAGCAGCAGCAGCAGCAGCAGCAGCAGAAGCTTGAATGGCTGCTGTTGCTGCTTTTTGCGGTGGTTTTGGTGTCTCCATCGTGTATTTCCTGCTGCTGCTGCTGCTGCTGCTGCTGCTGCTGGCCTGTGCGTTGCTGATCTGGTGCTTCTGTGCTTTTGTTTGTGTGGCTCTGCAGCAGCAGCAGCAGCAGCAGCAGCAGCAGCAGTTTCAGTCCCATTTGCCAATGAGAGGCAGCCCCTTTGGGCCTGGAGGGAACATGCAGCAGCAGCAGCAGCAGCAGCAGCAAGCACAGCAGCAGCAGATGCTGCACCAAGGGTCTCTCTCGCCCATGGTGGGCGCTGCAAGCCCAGCAGCAGCAGCAGCAACAGCAGCAGCAGCAGCAGCAGCAGTGATACCCCCGCCCCACCCGCCACTCCCCCCAGTGCTGCAGGGGGGCCCCCAGGGGGGCCCCTCGGGGGCCCCCGGAGCAGCAGCAAGAATTGCAGAGTCGAGGGGCCCCCCTGCTGCTTCGCAGCCAGTGAGCAGCAGCAACGGCAGCTCAGTGGGGGCCCCCATGGACCTGGTGTGTCCGTAGCTGCTGCTGCTGCAGCAACTGCAGCAGCCGCAGCAGCTGCTGCTGGAGCGGCAGCTGCTGCTGCAGGCGTCAGCAGCTGCAGCAGCAGCAACACTGGCCCTGCTTTCTCAGTTTGAAGTGAACGGGAACGCTCGAAGATCCTGAGTACCAGCAGCAGCAGCAGCAGCAGCAGCAGCTGCTGCTGCTGCTGCCGCTTGTGCTGCGCTTCACTCGCTGCAGCAATAGCTAGAATGATACCGAGGTGGGGTCTGGGGCCGCTCCTGCTGCTGCTGCTGCTGCTGCGGTGTCCGTACACACTGCTGCTAATATATTGTGAAAAGCAGTTACCCAAGAGCAGCTGCAGCAGCAGCAGGTGCGACAGCAGCAGCTGCTGCAACAGCAGCTGCTGCTGCTGCGGCAGCTGCTGCAACAGCAGCAGCTGCTGCCGCAGCAGCTCGTGCGAGCACTGCTGCTGCGGCGGCGGCAGCAGGGCGGGGAGTCTACCCCCCTTTTTTGGTACCTCGCAGCAGCAGCAGCAGCAGCAGCAGCAGCAGCAGCAGCAGCCCCGAGCTGCCGCAGCGTTTGCGCAGCTTTTCTCCTTTCTGTCTCTTCCGCAAACGATGATGAATTTAAAGGGCGCTTTCCCTGCTGCTGCTGCTGCTGTTGTTGCTGCTGCTGCTGCTGCTGTTGCTGCTGCTGCTGTTGCTGCTGCTGCTGCACGCACGAGGCTGCTGTGGCCGGCGTTGCACCACACAGCTGCAGCAGCAGCACTATTCTGTTGCAGTAGCAGCAGCAATTAAAATATTAATTATTATTATCTCCTTAATTTTAAATTGATGTTACTATTATTTTAATTACAATTGAGTTTGTTTAATATAATGGAGAAAACGCACAAACCGCACAGGGCGTCAAGCAGCGGGTTGCAGCTGCTGCTGCAGCGGCAGCAGCAAGAGGCGCAGCAGCAGCAGCAGCAGCAGCAGCAGCGCTGTGCCCTGGCTAGCTAGCTACTTGCTGCTGCAGCTAGCTGCGAGCCTAAACCCTAAACCCTAAACCCTTGGACGAGTGCGGGCAGCTTTAGTCTCTTCACAATGCCCATTAACAAATGCAGCAGCAGCAGCAGCAGCAGCAGCTCGTGCTGCTGCTGCTGCTGCTGCCGTAGGCAAAACAGCCCTTGGGCCTTTACAGAGGCCGCGATACAGTTCTGCTGCTGCTGCTGCTGCTGCCGCTGCTGCAGCTGCGGCCAATTCGGAAACCCTGCGGACCCAATAACGCTGCTTCTGCGGCTTCCACAACTGCTGCTGCTGCTGCTGCTGCTGCTGCTGCTGTCAGTCTCGCTGCTGCAGCTCTTGCTGGGTCGGGCGCTCCCACGTATCCTACCGCAAGTCTTCTTGCGAGTGCTGCTTCTGCTGCTGCTGCTGCTGCTGCTGCTGCTGCAGCTGCTCTGTTGAGCTCTTTTAGAGAGTGCTGTCCATCAAGCGACGTTGCAGATTATCTGCTGCTGCTGCTGCTGCTGCTGCTGCTGCTGCGTCCGTTGCTGCTGTTGCTGCTCCTTGTGCTACTGCTGCTGCCCTCTGTCCTCTTCTTCCCGCGAGTCACCCACACTTCCGCTGCTGCTGCTGCTGCTGCTGCTGCTGCTGCTCCCGCTGCTGCTGCTCGCAGCCAAACCTTCGCAGTTATTTATTTCCACTTTTATTATTTCATCTGTCTTTGCAGCTTCTCCATTTTGCTTCCGCTTCTTCCGCGGGCGCCCCCGGGGGGCCCCCCCCCCAACCTCTGCTGCAGCAGGGGCCCCTAACCCAGGGGGCCCCCCTGGGGGCCCCCCTGGGGGCCCCCCTGGGGGCCCCCCTGGGGGCCCCCCTGGGGGCCCCCCTGGGGCCCCTGGGGGCCCCCTTGGGGCCCCGGGGGCCCCTGGGGCCTCCCCCGATCTGCTGCAGCTTTTTTGAGGTCTGCACGCAGAAGCGCCGTTGTCAGTTCCTGCTGCTGCTGCTGCCACTGTTTTTACTGCTGCTGCTGCTGCTGCTGCTGCTGCTGCTGCTTCTGGTGTTGGTGCTGCTTCGAGTTCTCCTTTCCTTGCTGCTCCAGATGCCAAGGGCAGGTGCGGCGGTGGCGCCGCTGCTGCTGCGGTTGCTGCTGCTGCTGCTGCAGGCACTTGTGGCTCTGCCGCTGCTGCTAGTGCTGCTATTGTGTCCTCGCGTTGCACCGGCGCTGCTGCTGCTGCTGTGTCTGCTGCTTGATCTGCTGCTGCTGCTGCTGCTGAAGCCGGTGCTTTAGGAGGCGGCAGTAAGGCTGTGGGGCCCCCTGGGGGCCCCACAGTGCACACCACTTTAGGTGCTGCTGCAGCACCTGCTGCTCCGGCACCTGCTGCTGCAGCACCTGCTGCTGCATTGCCTGCTGCATTGCCTGCTGCAGCTCCTGCTGCTGCAGCACATCTGGGCGAGCCGCCCCCAAACGTGGGCCCTGCGGCACCGCAGCAGCAGCAAAGCCTTTCAGGATATTATAAAGACAAAGAGACGCCAGCTGCTGACCAGGAAAACAAAGAGCAGCAGCAGCAGCAGCAGCAGCAGCAGCAGCAGCAACAGCAGCAGCAGCAGCAGCAGCAGCATACCCAGCAAAGCGCCAAGCTGCTCCATCGTTGACAGCTCCTTGTCCACCAGTCTCACTCTAACATGCGACCCAAAAGCAACGCGCCGCCTTTGCTGCTGCTGCTGCTGCTGCCGCTGCTGCTCCCCTATTTGCTGCTGCTGCTCGCCGCCTGCTGCTGCTGCTGCAGCAGCAGGCAACCCTCGCGTGCCCACGCTCAAGCAGCTTTTCAAGGGGGCTAATCTGCTGCAAGGCTTTGCTGCACTTGGGGGCCCCCAGGAACTGGGGGGCCCCCCAGCAGCTGCTGGGGGCCCCCCAAGACCTGCTGTGGGGCCACCTGTCTTGCTGCAGTCCTTTGCTGCTGCAGGGGCCCCCGGGGCCCCTGCTGCTGTCCCTTCTGGGCCTTGTTGAACTGAAAAGGGTTTGCTGAAGGGGGGGCCCCCTGCTGCTGGCTGCCTGGGTGGGGCCCCCAAGCAAACCCCCGGAGGGGCCCCTGGGCACTGCTGCTGCTGCTGCTGCTGCTGCTGCTGCTGCTGCTGCTGCTGCTCGAAGGGCTCTCTGTCGCCGTCCGCTGCGTCTGTGTCTGCTGCAGTCCCTGCTGCCACTTGTGCTGTTGGGGGGCCCCCCTCCTGATGTGAATTTCGGGGGCCCCCCGTCGTGGGGGGCCCCCCTGACACAGGGTTTACCGCGCCCGGGGGGGCCCCCCCATCCCCAGGGGGCCCCTCTAGCCCCGGGGGCCCCTCTATCCCAGGGGGCCCCTCTATTCCCGGGGGCCCCTGTAGCCCCGGGGGCCCCTGTAGCCCCGGGGGCCCCTGCAGCCCCGGGGGCCCCTGTAGCCCCGGGGCCCCCGGGGCCCCCTGGGGGCCCCCCTGGGGGCCCCCCTCGGGGGGCCCCCTGGGGGCCCCCGGGGGCCCCCTGTCTTGCGGGGGGGGCTGCTGAGTGGAGGCGCCGAGCTCGAGCCAGTAGTCGCCGGCAGGGTCGAAAGAGGGGGTACGGATTTGGTGCCTTGCTGCTGCTGCTGCTAGTTTGGGGTTTGCTGCAGCAGAGTTGGAATGTGCTGCAGCAACATGCAGCCGGAGAGCAGCAAAAGAGGAGTGGGTGTAGGCGCAGAGCCCGCAGTGGTAGTGGCAGGGCGGCGGCGGGCGGCGGGCGGGGCGCCCCGCTGCTGCTGCTGCTGCTGCTGCTGCTGCTGCTGCTGCTGCTGCGGGGGAGGGGGCGGCGGCTGCTGCAGCGGGAGACGCAGCAGCAGCAGCAGCAGCAGAAGCAGCGACTCCGCACGGGGAAGGCCCGCTTGAGGCGCACCGACGCTGCCGGGATGCACGGCCTTCTCCAGCCGTGGCACCATTTGCTGCTGCTGCTGCTGCTGCTGCTGCTGCTGCTGCTGCTGGTGCGGCTGCAGTGGGGGAGGAGGGCTGCGAAGCTGCTGCTGCTACAGCAGGGGCCTCTGGCTCTGGAGGGCCAGGTTTGGGTGCGTCTAAAGCTGCTGCTGCTGACTCAGCTTCCGAGGTGCCTGCTGCTGCTGCCGTCGTCTGCTTCCTCTGAGTGGTCCTGAAAGCAGCAGCAAACAGAAGCGCAGACGCAGCTCCCACACTTCTGATCCAGCAACAACAACAACAACAACAACAGCAGCAGCAGCAGCAGCAGCAGCATTGCAGCAGCATTGCAGCAGCAGCATTGCAGCAGCAGCAGCAGAATTGCAGCAGCAGCAGCAGCATTGCAGCAGCAGCACTGCAGCAGCAGCAGCAGCATTGCAGCAGCATTGCAGCAGCAGCAGCAGCATTGCAGCAGCATTGCAGCAGCATTGCAGCAGCAGCATTGCAGCAGCAGCACTGCAGCAGCAGCAGCAGCAGCAGCAGCTCACGAGTCTGCAGGGGAAGCAAACGAAGGCGCCCAAGTACCTTCTGCGGCGCCAGTGGAAAGTTCTGTAGTGCGCGAAGTTGCGGAGGTAAAGATTGGGGGCCCAAGCAGCAGGAGAGCAGAGGGGGCATTCGAAGCGCTGGCTGCTGCTGCTGCTGCTGCTGCTGCTGCTGCTGCTGCTGCTGCGCTGCAGCAGCAGCTGCGGCGCCCCCACTGCGTGCATGCCTTCGATGCGCAGCGGCAGCACCGGCGCCCGCAGCAGCTCTGCTGCGCTCCGAGACGGAATTGCTGCTGCTGCTGCTGCTGCTGCCAGCAGCAGCTGCTCCTTGCATGCAAAGGCCCCACACTCCCCCTCGGACTCCGAGCACGCCGCTGAAGAACCCCCAGACTCCTCTGCTGCTGCTGCTGCTGCTGCTGCTGCGGCTGCTGCTGCTGCTGCTGCTGCTCGGGGGCCCCGGCCAGCAGCAGCAAGCGGCCCCCGCTTCTGCGGACGCTCTCCAGCCCTCGCCAGCCGCCGCTTGCGCTCTGCCTTCACCCGGGGGGCCCCCAGGGGCCCCTCTGCTGCTGCTGCTGCTGCTGCTGCTGCTGCTGCTGCTGCTGGGGCCTCTTCAGGGGGCCTCAAGGGGGGGGCGGGGGCCCCCAGCCCCTTCCGGGGGCCCTTCCTTAAGGGAGGGGCCCCTGGCGGGGGCCCCTCCTCAGCAGCAGCAGCCCCACCCAAGTCCCGTGCTGCAGCAGCAGCTTCACCTCCTGCTGCAGGCTTCGCAGCAGCAGGAACCGCAGCTCCTGCTGCAGCAGCAGCCACAGCTTCTGCTGCAGGCTCTGCAGCTCCTGCAGCAGAAGCTCCACCGCTTTCTGGGGGCCCCTGGGGCCCTAGGAGCCCTGGGGGCCTCAAGGGCCCCGGGGGCCCCCTGGGCCCTGCGAGCCCTGGGGCCCCCTGGGGCCCCTGGGGCCCCGGGGGCCCCTGGGGCCCCTGGGGCCCCGGGGGCCCCTGGGGC